ATAAAACTTTTATCACAATCCATCCATCATGTTGAGCATATTTGTGTATTTGTTGCCCTCATCATTCTCAAAACATTTGCTTTCTACTTGAGCCCTTGGTATGAGCTCCTCATTTTTTTCCCTCCCTTCTCGCTCCCACCTCCCTCATGAACTCTTGATAATTTATAAATTATTATTTTGTCATATCTTACACTGTCCGATGTCTCCCTTAACCCACTTCCCTATTGTCCGTCCCCCAGGGAGGAGGTTATATGTAGATCCTTATAATCGGTACCCCCTTTTTACCTCACCTTCCCTCCACCCTCCTGGTATCACCACTCTCACGTCCTGAAGGGATCTCTGTCCTGGATTCCCTGTGTTTCGGTTCCTATCTGTACCAGTGTACATCCTCTGGTCTAGCCAGATTCTTAAGGTAGAATTAGGATCATGATAGGGGGTTGGAGGAAGCATTTAAGAAATAAAGGAAGGTTGTATGTTTCATTATTGCTACACTGCACCCTGACTGGCTCTTCTCCCAGTACTGACATCTTTACAGTTAAAAAATCCAGTTTTTGCTGGGCTTTTTTAAAAAGAGGGATATTATGAGGCATCTGACTATGCTTATGCCTTAAACTTCCTTTTTAATTATTTTATTGAGGGCTCGTACATTTCTTATCACAGTCCGTACATCCATCCATTGAGTCAAGCACCTATGTACACCTGTTGTCCTCATCAATCTCAAAACATTTGCCCTCTACTTTAGCCCTCAATATCGTTTGCTCATTTTCCCCCTCCCTCCTGAACCCTTCATAATTCATAAATTATTATAGATTTGTCATAAGTTACCCTGTCTGACGTCTCCCTCCACCCTCTTCTCTACTGTCCATTCCACAGGGTTCTTGTTGTCCAGGACCATCAGTGAGGGTGGTTAGAATGGTTAGTAGTGGTAGCCGAGCACCATATAGTTTTCTGGTCTCAGTATAGAAGGAGACCATGGTTAATGTTAATGCTGTTGACTATTTTCGTTGAGTGATGAGTTTCCTGTTACTCTTTTGCCTCCCGATAGGTACAGACCAATAGTGTGTTTCAGCTGACCAGTAAGATTCCAGATGCTACTCACCAAACTAGAATGTAGAATATAAAGCTTATGCAAATGGAATTGTTTGGAGAATTGAATTCTTCATTTAAAATTTTGGTGAATGTTGCCAAAGTCCTCCTTGATAGCCGGGTGTGCCTCTTGATATTTCCACCACATTGTGGAAGAGGACCTGTTTTCCCATACTTTAAATGCTATTTCGTGTTTGGAATGCAACATTTTATTGATTTATTTTATAGTGTTTTTCCTCAGCAAATGTTTATTGTTGAAACATATAGGCAATATGATTTTTAAAATCATTATAAAGTATATACTCAATTCTCAACATAGTTAGGTTTCAAAGACCAGGTCATTTTGCAAGAATTGGGTGCCATACCCTGTTATACACCCCCCAAACTACTGTTCACATATTCCTTGTTTCTTTCACACAGAAAGTTCTACTTTCTCTGCTCCCATAGAGCAGCCATGAATCCTGGTTTCTCAGTAGAGGTCTTTGCATTAACTCGTGCAGTATGCCTGGCCCAGTACCTTTCTCGAGCTGACAGTAAAGGATCTTCGTTGCTCCATTCTGCAAACATACTCACAGCATCAGGTCTCACTTGTTCTTAGTGTCTCTCTTGCCTTTCCTTTGTGATTCTCTGTTTTGCTCCCAGTGAACTTTCAGCAGTAGAGGGTTTCTGTTGTTTCCTTTATTTGTCCAGTACCGTCTTGTTGGATTTGCCCTGGTCAAGCAACCTATCTTTTGGTCGAAAATTTGGGCTACTTTCCCTTTCTGTCTTGCTTTCTTTCTGAAGATTGAACACTTCATGTTTTCCCTAGCTCTGTATTTATCATTGTGCTCATACCTTCCTTTCTTTCATATGCTCCTCCTTTGCTTTTGCTTTTCTCTCCTTGCTCACTGTCAGTCGGGGTCATTTAGTTGTCTCTTCTTCTCTTGGAATATAATTCTCCACAATTCCCTTCCTTTTCCATTCTCTGGCATTTCTATCTCTTTCTCCATGGTCTCTTCCTTTCAGTTTAATCTTCTTCATGTCTCTTCTGGTGAGAATCTTTATAACTGGTCTTTTTGATAATGAATGAATGAAGCAATTCTCCTGGTCCCTGGATTGTCTTTCTCAGTGTTGATCTTCTCTGCTGTCATGTCCTTTTGACTTGGAACTTTTTTGTGTGGCGTCAGGCACTGCACTCTTTCTTCACTAGATGACGATGAGTTTGATTCCTGTGGTGCTTGGGTTCATTCTCAGGACTCTTGACCTTTTTCCCTTGTGTAGATAATTTTATTGTTTTCTTCAGTTTCCTCATCCTTGCTGCTCTTAGCATCAAAGTCACATCTGGGTTTTCTGCATTTATGCCAGTTTGGAAAATGCGTTTCTCATGGGGTATTTTTTTCTGTGAATCTACGTCATTATTTGGCTTCTCTTCCTTTATCCCAGGTCTGGCTTCATGGAAGTTCCATTTAGGTACTCTGTCTTTACCAGCTGTTTGACGTAATAGGTGCCTAGGAAATCCACTGAGATCTTTGGTTACATCCAAACGTGCTTCTTGTACAGTATTCCTCGTCAACTCACCAGTATAGTTTTTTCTTACAAACAGATGTTATGAAAACCTCTATCATTAAATTTTCACTTTCTCATTTCTCATTCTTGATGGCTTTTCTTTTCCATCCTTTGTTCCTCCTCTTTCATGATTTCACCTGTTTTTAGTAAGTTGTGAATGGATCTGATCTTTTGATCTTTTCCCCAAAGCAATTAGGAATATTTTCCCCCCACCCCCCTCCCACATACATTTCATTATAAATGCTGTCATAGTCATACCTGGTAACATCTTCTGGGAGGACTTTGGGATTTCCAGTTTGGTCTGTTTCATTGCTTGCTTGTTAGGAGCTTCCCTCGGCAGGTTTTCACTTACAGAGGCTTCATCATCATCAGGATCATTTCAAAACACTGGCGGTGTTTGCAAAACAGGATGTGCAACTGCTGTGCTTTCTTTGGCAAAGTGAGCACATCCCCTTTGCTGTGGCTTCTCGGCACAACATTCCTAACATGAGAAGAGAGGGTGGAAATCAGGACCTGAGCTTTTGCCAAGGAGAACAAGGCCCTTAGAGCAGTGGTTCTGAACCTTTGGGTCACGACCCCTTTGGGGGTCGAACGACCCTTTCACAGGGGTCGCCCAATTCATAACAGTAGCAAAGTGACAGTTATGAAGTAGCAACAAAAATAATTTTATGGTTGGACGTCACCACAACATGAGACTCTGTATTGCATGGTCGCATCATTAGGAAGGTTGAGAACCATTGTCTTAGAGAAAGCCAGGATTGGTCTCTCTTCTCACTGCTCCTGAGAGCATCTAAGGGGGCAGAAATTAAGCAGGTGGATTGCTCTTGATTGAAAAATATTAAATACTGAGCTTAAATTCTCCTGAAGGAGTCATACCAGATCATCAGACTAGTAGTACTCATTGCTGTTTATTTTTTTCTTGGTCACTTTCCTCAAGTAAAAGCCTTCACAATAGTTGAATCTGGAAATGCTTTATGTTGTTGAATGGATCGTTTAATGACACACTTTGAACCTCATGACTTCTATATTCTAAGCAGACAAACTTCCTTTTATTGTTTAGTGTTTTGTGCCAACAACTCACAATAACTAGTGTAGTGGATAATGTAAAAATATTTTAACACTTAGCACTTACCTACTTACATCACATATTTTTAACTAGCTATATTTTTTTCTCTTTGCCAGTGGAACAGCAGGTATAACTAAAGGTTTTCTTTAAAGAATTCATCCTCACTAAATATGGTTATTATTATGTATACCTTCTAGTTGTCTTTATTTTTTCACTTTTAATAGCAATGTTTTTTCAATAAACATGAGTAGATTGACCTTTTTTTAAAACACACTTGGAATTTTTAACAAACAAGTTACAGAAAAAGTCACAGAATTCAAGATGTGTATTGGCTTTTCTTTTTTTAAAATAGTTTTATTGGGAGGGCTTTTAGAGCTCTTGTACAATCCTTATATCAATGTATCAAGCACACTTGTACGTATTTGCTATAATTTTCAAAGTATTTTCTTTTTACTTGAGCCCTTGGTATCAGTTCCTCTTTTTTTCCCTCCTTCCCACCCTCATGAATTCTTGATAAATTATATATTATTATTTTCATATCTTACACCATCTGCTATCTCCCTTCACCCACATTTCTGTTATTTGTCTTCCTGGGGGGGGGGGTTGTTATACATTGATCATTGTGTGATATGGTTCCACTTTCTTCCCCCCCACCTTCCCTCTAACTCTCACGGTGTTGCTACTCCCATTACTGTTCCTCAGGGGCTTGTCTGTCCCGGATTCCATGTGTCAAGAGCTCTTATCTGTACCAATGTACATACGCCGGTCTAGCTGGATTTGTAAGGTAGAAGTCGGGTCATGATAGTGGGGTGGAGAGGGAAAAAGCATTAACGAGCTAAAGGAATGTTGTGTGTTTCATCAATACTATTCTGTACCTTGGCTGACTCATTCTTCCTTGTGAGTCTTTTTTAATATATACTTTTAATTTAAACTTTTCATAGGTTTTAATTTCAAAATGCAAAGTACATGACTGTATAATCAATTATATATAAGGAAATATAGGTCATGAACATAAAAGAATCTAATTACATAGAATTTGTAACTGGAAGATTATTTAGCATTGCTAATAGAACAAAAGCAACTTTGAAAGAATAAAATGATTTAATGCTTGTCTTGTGGTATGCAGTTCTCCATATTCTGTTTTTTGTAATTAATAGAATCATTTTAGAAGGAAATGTATATATTAATAACTTTTTCATATAATTACTTGTTCTTTTTTTTTTTTTTACGTAGTCATCTTAATGTGTAGATGAGTCTGGTACTGCTTTACTGACAATGTTAATATTTTCTTTTCCAAATTTAGATATGAGTATCGTGTAGAGATGGTTCATCAATCCTGTAATGATCCTACTAAAAATATCATTAGAGAATTTGCATCTGACTTCGAAGTTGGAGAATGCTGGGGTTATAATAGATTTTTTCGTTTGGACTTACTTGCAAATGAAGGATACTTGAATCGACAGAATGATACAGTAATTTTAAGGTAATAGGGAACATTGAATGTTGTGGACTTGGTTATGAGGGAGTAAGGCCATCAGAACTTTACTTCAAAGCCATTTGTTTAAGAAAGATGACAAATAAATAAAACAAGAAAGATGGCTATTGAGATTCATGTTATCTATAGCCTTACCATTTTCTTAGCTGCAGTGAATAATAACGCTTAATCATAAATTTGTGTGACATCTAATTAGTAATCCATAAAAAGGAAATGACTCACTTCGTAAATGTTATAATGGCTCATTTATGTGCTGAAAGTTCAGCAGCCCTATTACCCCTTGGAAAACCTAAGAATAACAAAGGAGCAGATGCTTATTTTTTCACTTTACATTGTATATTATTTGTACTTGAACCATAATCAAATCAATGAAAAAATGTATGGTTTATAGTTATCAACAGAAGCTAGTGTCTTGGATACCTAAAGCTGCTACAACAGAAATAGTGCAAGTAAATAGCTTTATGTATTTAGTTCATAAATATGTATTTCAGATTTTTATTTTTTAACTTTTTTGTGCACTAGATAAGATCATCACGATTACATTTAACAATTCATGTACATTTTGTTTCATTCATTTGCAATCCTTTCAGTATAAAAGTAGGTGACTTTAATAAATTTATTTTCTCAGGCTAGAAATCCAAATTTGGCAATACTGCATTTAGCTTATTGCCTCTTCTGCTCCTGGGAGATCTGCTTGTGGTTTAGCAACTCCCTTCCCAATGTTGGTTTAGATATTTGAACTTGGACACCTTCCCACTAATCCTGCCTCATTGACACAACAAAGACCCGCTACCCAAATGGGAATATAATTCCAAGCATCAAAATAAGCCAAACTAAACCCACTGCTTTCCTCCCCGTGGGACTGGGTAGGCCTACCTCTAAGGGAGTAGGAAAAGCCCTGTCATTCTCCCACTGAGCAGCTGGTAGTTTCTGACTGCTGACCTTGCAGTTAGCAGTGCACAGGCACTTTGCCACCAGGGTTCCTAACCCCAGACATAGAAGGTTGGATTTACAGTGCCTGTTTTTAGTGGACACAATTGAATCCCAAATGCAGAAGTTAAAGGAGACCTTCCTTGAGACCCAACAGAGGAAGCCTCCCCCTACAACTGGCACGCTGAATTTTGACTGTTAGTCTCCTAAATTTTAGTTTGTAAAGTCAATATATTTGTATTTTTGTTACAGTATTACCTGGTGACTAACTTAGTTTGATAATATTACTCTTTGTGTTATTTCTCACCTGGAGCTATCCTTTTAAGGTTTCAGGTTCGTTCACCAACTTTTTTTCAAAAATGCCGGGATCAGCATTGGTATATTACTCAGTTGGAAGCTGCACAGACTAGTTATATTCAGCAAATAAACAATCTTAAAGAGGTAAGCTAATAACATGAATTTTGGGTTTGGGGTTTTATATGGACCCTTTGTAATTGGACTTTGGGCACTTGTTGTTAGGAATCTTGTAGGAAAATCCCATTATTTTGTTCCCTATTCTGAATCTTGAGCGTCTACTTTCATTGTCCATTTTAGAAGCCAGTAGCCACATGTGGCTACTTCAAGTAATTATAGTTAAGGATTCTTTTTCTCAGTTGTACTGGCCACATTTTAAGTGATTAATATCCACATATAGTGGCTACTATATTATGCATAAAAGATACAGACCATTTCCATCATCATAGCGTTAATTGGACACTGTTGGTTTAGTGGGTGATAAACTCTTCCCTAAGCTGTCTTGGATATCGAGGATCTTGTATAAAACAATAGAAAGATGCTCCATTTTCTTTCTTTTTTCTTTTTTAATCATTTTATTGGGGGCTCGTACAACTCTTATCACAATCCATACATGTAGGGGGAGGTCAGATGCTTACAGACATCCTCCCTGAAGACGTTCACCAGACTACACACATGGTAGGCCCCACTCCCTGCTGTTCAAGGACAATGGACAGGCCCACAGACATCAATTTGGTTCCTGTAGGTGGAATTCACACCCTACTGATAATGGTCTCTATCATTTGAGCCAGGGAACAAGTCAAACCTGCTCTGTGACATCCAAAGTTAGGCTGCCATCCTGTATAGAGGATCCACCCATCTTGCCACATGTATACCCCAATCCCTCCTCTTCCTATTGTGTGGATACCACCCCTAGATCACCCCCTCCCATTACTGCATTACCTATAGCACAACCCCTTACTGTGACATATGTCTTCACCTGTAATTAGGGACTTGCATGTCCCCAGAGAATATAAAGCCTTGGTTAGCATTAAATATCTTTCTTTCTCCACGTGGACCAAGTGGGACTGAGATGAGCATGCTACCATGAAATGTGTCTGATTTCATTATTTCAATGTCTCTCTCCTATCTCTCATGCTCTCTATGACTTTACTATAATCTTATTATCGCTGTACAATTGCGCCTACCGGACCCGTGATGATGTGCTAGGGGCTGGCTTCCCCTTGCACATCCATCCATCCATTGTGTCAAGCACATTTGTACATTTGTTGCTATTATTCTCAAAACATTTGCTTTCTGCTGGAGCCCTTGGTATCAGCTTCTCATTTTTTCCCCTTCTTTCCTCCCTACCTCATGAACTCTTGATAATATAAATTTTAATTAATATAAATATAAACCCTTGATAAAAAATTTATAAATTATTATTTTGTCCTATCTTACACTGTCTTGACGTCTCCCTTCACCCACTTTTCTGTTGTCCATCTCCCAGGGAAGACGTTAAATGTAGGTCCTTGTAATTGGTTACCCCTTTCCACCCCACCTGCCCTCTACCCTCCCATTGTCGCCACTCTCACCACTGGTCCTGAAGGGGTCATCTGTCCTGGATTCCCTGTATTTCCAGTTCTCATCTGTACCAGTGTACATTCTCTAGTCTAGCCAGATTTGTAAGTTAGGATTAGGATGTGAGGGGTGGGGGGAGTAACCATTTAAGAACCTGAGGAAAGTTGTATGTTTCATCGTTGCTGCACTGCACTCTGACTGGCTCGTCTCCTCCCCGTGACCCTTCTGTAAGGGGATGTCCAGTTGCTTACAGATGGATCTTGGGGAGATGCTACATTTTCAGTGCTCATTTTTTTTCTTAAGCATTTGGAAGGATCACTAAGTGAACTTTAATTTTACTAAATTTATGTAAGGAATATCACTTTCCCATAATGGAAGTTGGGGGGGGGGCAGGTTTCAATTCTGAGAGAGTGATTAATGAGTGAGGGAGGATCATGTGATATTTTCAGTGATTATGTTAAGTATACTATTTAACCAACTGACCATATACACCACATGATTTGCTTAACTTTATGTGAGGCTTGAGATGGACATGAAAGGAAAGAATGACGGGGAGAGTGTATCCTTGACATTAACATGCTTGACTGCAAACTGAAAGGCTGGCAGTTAGTTAGGGTCCACCCAGAGACACCTCAAAAGAAAGGTCCCAAACCCTGGGAAGCTCAGTTCTCTTCTGACATGCACGGGGTGCCATCAGCGTGGTCTGCTCAAAGATGACAGTGCAGCTATCCTTGACGAGATTTTTCCATAAGCAGAAGTCAGGAGGGGGTGGGGGGAAATGGTCTAAGGATGGCTTTAGGAACCTTTTTCTTTCTGAACTCTGCCAGTTATATACTGCTACTTATGCCAACTATCTACATGTGCTCTTTTTGTTTTAAAAGAGACTTACTATTGAACTATCGCGAACTCAGAAATCCAGAGATTTGTCACCACCAGATAACCACCTTCGCCCCCAAAACGATGATGGCCCAGAGATGCGAGCTAAGAAGTGTGGGTCAAGCTCTGACATGCTTCTCGAGGGCAGTCCAGCTGCAGTTTCAGTGAGAGAGGCCAAAGAAGATGAAAAAGATGAGAAGATTCAGAATGAAGATTACCATGTAATAATTTTTGTGTGTTTGAGAAGGAAAAATGACAGGATCATGATTTCCAACGTACTTTAGGGAGTCAGAGTGCTAAAGTTTTCCATTGGTTTTCTGTGAATGTTATTCTGTGACTTAATTTAAAATCCAAGTTGTTGAATGACAGTGGATCAAGGTTCTAAAAATGAATTTATTGTAGAAAACTAGTAATTTCTGTGATGTACATTCTTGATAAAATTTTGGATACTTTGTATGTGTCCTATTTCTAAAACTAACAGGTACCTTACATAGGTGGTAGGATTTATGACTTGGGAGATTGCTAGGTTTTGCCCCAGCAAAACAACCCCCAGAATAAGCAAGCACTCAAGAACAATAGGGAGTGGTTATTACTGTTTAAGGCAAAATCGGAAATCAGCAATATGTGACTATTTTAAGATGGGAAATTTGATTTAGATGTTAAATGAAGGTGCCAGTGAGGAAAACGGTTGCGGATAAGGGTATTGCTAAAAGTAAGCAGTTGATAGGGGAGGGGCTGTTGGACTCAGGAAGCATTACCCCTTTGAGACAGTGCCTTTAAGGAGAATGGATGTTGGGTAGGTTTTGTGGAGTGATGGGTGGAGGTGTTCGCTTTGAGGAACAGTGGAGGAAGCAGAATGAAAAGCATTTCTAGTCACATTAAGCACTCAGCTGAAATTGACAGTCATAAGATAGTTGTGCTAACCATTGTGGTGGTGTGATTTTTCTCAACAGAGCACAGGCACCTCAGCACAAGAGCTGAGAATTCTGATGATTGTCTTATTCCTTGATGGTTGCACTGCGAATGGGGTTGGATAGGATGCTCAAATTAGTGTGAATATGAAGGGTAAAAGCCTTGTTTTCTTGGCAATGACTAGCACGAGCTCTCCGATGGAGATCTGGACCTGGACCTGGTGGGCGAAGATGAAGTCAATCACCTTGATGGCAGTAGTTCCTCAGCCAGCTCCACGGCAACCAGTAACACGGAGGAAAACGACATCGATGAAGAAACCATGTGAGTGCCTCACATTCACCGCACTGTCAGACAGCCGGGTGGTAATTTCGTAGTACAACTGACTCACGTTTAAAAGTGGAGGGATATCCAGTAGTTATTTTCTGGATATAACGTATCGTTATATAAGTAAAATATTTTTAAAATGTTCTTAATTTTGAAAAATTTTCAAGTTTAAAAAGGTTTTGTTAGAAGAAGAATAACAAAAATTTCCTATATGTTTTCTCTTAACCAAGATTCCCTAATGTCATGAACATTCTACCATTTTTACTGTTTTCTATAATTGCTCTGCGCTCGCTCGCTCTCTCGTTCCCTCTCATTCCAGGACTTTCTTTTATGAGACTTTTGAGGTTGAGTACACTTCAGTATATATTTCCTATTTAAAAAAACACACGCGAATATTTCCTGTGTAACCGTACTATAGTTACCTAAGTTAGAAATTAACATTGATTCATTCAGTACTACTGTCTAGCCTATGACTTTATAAAAGTTTTGCCAATTGTTTCACTACTAATATACTTTGGTTTAGGATCTAGTCTAAGATCCCTTGCTACATTTGTCTGTTATGTGTCTGAAGTCTGCTTCCACCTGGAACTGTGACTGATAACTTTCCTTGACACTTCTGAGGAGTGCGGGTCAGTTAATTTGGAGAAAGTCCTGTGATTTGTGTCTCATTTCTTTGTGACTTGATTGAAATTACCTTTGGACAGGAGTTCTGAAGATGTATTTGGCAGGAGGGATGATGCATTTTTTCTCAGTGCAGCCTATCAGGAGGCACATGACATTAATTTTTGTTGCATTACCAATGATACTAAATTTGATCACCTGGCTAAAGTGTTTGCTAGGTTTCTCCATTTTAATTCACTATTTTTCCTTTGTAATTAGTGGAGAGAGATCTTGAGGCTGTTTATATCCCATGTATATTTTTGCCTAATTTTAACATCCCTTAATATCCTAATTTTGCTGTCCATTAATAGCAATCATTGCCATTAATTGCTGTTATGATTTCCTAAAATTGGCATTATTCCTTCTGCATTCATTAGTTAGACTTTTGCTCTAATGAAAAGCTTTCTTTCCCCTCTCTTCCACTTATTACTTTACTTTATTAGAATTGTCTCATGGAGCCTTACATTGTTAAATGTTTTAATCTGTTACTGTCAGTATTTTATTGGTGAGATTATTGCAGACTTGGCCAGCACTGTTTTCCTGGCACTGTAAAATGTCCCAGGTTCATCTTGTACTTTCTCTTAACTCTGGAGAGTACCATTCCAAGGAATTAGGTGAGAATTTTAACTCCATACCTATTCTCCCCTTCACTTTCACAAATTAATTCCTCAAAACAGCCCAGTTATACTTAATGATCCTCTTGAAAATACTTGACAGATTGCCCCAAATGGGTTAGCTGATCAAAATGCAAAGCCCAGGCCCCGTTAGTTCTACAAACCACAAAACATCATTACAGTGATGTTTTTTAGATATATAAAAATGAACTGATAAATTTGAATCAATATGGAAAATTTGCAGTTGATTGTTTTAAATAGTAGTTGTACAAAGTGAACTCTTACCTTTTCATAGCTTAAATATACAGTTCTATCTGAATTAATTTTTTGTTCTGCTTTTGAAGTTATTTCAAGGTTGTCCTGAGGATAGCTGTTGTTAGGTTGTCAAGTCAGTTGTGATTGTGACCATCTATACAACAGAAAGAAACTACCTAATCCTGTACCATCCTCACAAGTTCCTCTGTCTTGGCGCATTGTGATACCTGTGGTGCCAATCCATTTCACCGAGGGGCTTCCTCTTTTTCTCTGACCTTCTACCAATCATGAGGTCCTTCTGGTAACACGATCAAAATATAGAATACTAAATCTTACTGTCCTCACTTTTAAGGAGCATTCCAGGCAAAATCGATGTGTTTGTTCTAGTAGTCCGTTGTATATTCAATATTTTTCACCAACATTATAATTCGAGGCTTAAATTCTTCCAGTTCTTCTCATCCCAGCTTTCTAATGCATATGAGGCTATTGAAAATACCATGATTTGGGTCACATCCTCAAAGTGGCCTCTTTCCCCTTGACCACTTTAGAAGAGACCTTTTGTAGCAGAATAGAAGTCACCTGCTTCAGTGGTGGAACAGGCACAAGGTAAACATTTCCATTACAAATGGAAGAAATTGGAGAATTGGAGGGGGGAAAAAAACAAACATGGAGCAAGTCTAAACCCCAGCAGAACAATTTACATTAACTCACAAGACTTGATATCAAGCCTCTTGTTTTCTGAGACTATCTTGGCCTTGGCCCTGGACTTCACTTCCCTCTTCCAAGTCCACTTGGGATGGCAGCTCTGTTCCCCTGGCTCTGGGTGACCCCTTTCTTTTAGACCCCACCTCATCAGCCCCAGCAGGTCTCAGTCTTTTTCTCCTTGGACATGGCAGACTCCCAACCCCCACTTTAGCTTTGGCCTGTGGGTCTTACTCCATCTTTCCAACACTTGTAGATGGCAGGTTCACACAGAAAGGAAATGCTGACTCTGAAACGTTGGAGGCTGTGGCCCCACTCTCTGAGACCCTCAAAACCATCACTCCACACTTTGAGACTGAATCCACTTGCTTTCCTGTTCTCCTTCTCTAGTCAGCTTCTGGCCTGTCTTTGCCTTGTACATGTGTTACAAAAGCTTTAGCTATACCGACAAGTGCTCAGAGGCACCCTGCTCTGCCAGGAAGTCTCCTGCCTGAAGGCTCTTAGCTCTCTGCTCTGTGGGCTATAAATTCCTTTGCGTCTTTAATCTCAGTTTAAAACACTTCTCTGATTATCATGATGTCTACTAATCTTGGTAATTTTAGAAGATTGAACATCAATATCTGTACAGGGGATGATAAAAATATTTTTCTTCCTTTTTTAATTTAGAAATATCCTACGTTTTACAGGAGAGAGCTATGGACTAATGATACAGAATTTATTGACGTGTGACAAATAATGCTAATTGTATTTATCCTAAGCGAGTGATTAATTTTGTACTATTCTTAGGTCCGGTGAAAATGATGTGGAATACAACAACATGGAGCTGGAAGAGGGAGAGCTAATGGAAGATGTAGCTGCTGCAGGACCTGCAGGTACTGAGACCAAGTTCCACAAGCCATTCTGTCTTTCCTGTGTGCTCTTCACTGCCTTCTCGTGTTTTCATATTTGAAAGCCACTGTTGTGTTTGGTGACTCTAAGAGGCTCATGGTATGGAAGTGCTGTACCTTACATTATGGATTTTAGGATATATTACTAATAATGTTTAATACAATAATAGTAACTAACATTTGCCAAGTGTTTGTGTTCCTGGCACTACGGCAAGAACATTAGATATATCTTATATAACAGTATATCATGTATAACAGCTCTGTGAGATAAGTTCTAATATCTTTTACAGTTTATAGCTTTTGAAGTTAATGCATAGGGAAATTAAGCAATTGCTATGTTCTCACAATTTGTTAATGGAGAAAAATTAAGAACCCCAAGTTTATATGTCCAAAGGTGCTAATCTATGTAATACTGTCCCACGCGATGTCCAAGTCTCGCTAGTGTGTCTTGCTTGACTGTAAAGTGATCTTTACAGTCGGTAAAATTATGAAACTTTGATTTACGGAGGAATTTTAGAGAACTTATTTTCTAGATGAAAGGAATTCAGATTTAGTTTCCCGTAGCTAGTCATTGCTGTAACTCTCAACTGTTTTATCTTGAACTCACTCCACCACCACTCCCACCCTCCACATTCCCAGTTCCTCACTGCTTCTCGTGTTTGGTAAGAACTGACATGCACAGTAGGTGTTCTTTTTGTTTTCTTGGTAAATTTTGGCTGAGAGCAATGAAAAACTGTTTCTTACTGCTTCTGCCTTCCTGATGTTGCCATTGGTATAAGTGCTATCATATTTTATAACATGCTTGGATAACGGAAGACTTCTTAAATATTTGTCCTGAGTATTTCCCTGGGCAGCCCAAGCTCTGTGCTCTTCTTAGTCCTCAGTTTATTCTGGTCCTGGCTTATCCCCTTCTGTTCCCATCACTGTCTAGGAGCTGATGACTCTGCAGGTCTATCTCTAGCCATAAATTTCTCCCATGACTTCTGGAACCACAAAGCTGACAGAAGTTATCTTTTTATCTGCCCAAATGCCTATCAGCCATAGTACCACCTTAGGGATTGGTAATGCTGTGCATTTTTCACTTGTTCTCTCCCTCAAACTCTCTCCCAAGATCATATGTCTAATCAGCCTTCAAAACAGTGTATGCATTAATTTGTTACATCACCTCATTAAAGTGTCTGGGCACTTTCTTTTAACACAGCTTCTCTTTTCTGGATTCTGGATTCTTAGATTTGTTACCACTCTCCTCCCTCCTGTTTCCCACAGTCATTTATGTGAATGCCACATAAATTTTGTTTTTCCCAGTTAATATCTGGTTATGTTCGGCCTGGTTGACTAGAGAAACAAATCCAGAGACACTCGTGTATTTAGAAAGAGCTTTATATCAAAAACCAATTGTATATTCAGAAAACATCACAGCCCAGTCCAGATCACGTCCGTAAATCCAATATTAGCCCATATTTCCGATACTAGCCCATGCATTTTCTGGATTCATACAGCACATTCAGTGGTACTGAATGCCGGAAGATCACAGGCCAGGGATGAAAAGTTTTGTGAATCCAGTGGCGGTAGAAGCATCTCCAGGACTCTGACTAAAACTGCTTTGGGTTCTTTGATAAAGGCTGTCTCAATTTAGCCTACCCAAACATTACTGTGATTGTTTTTTTCAGCTACCTATTTACCTTGTTCATCTCTGAACTTCATGAGGCCAAGGGCATGTGCATACTAATTCAGTATTGTATCCTTAGCACCTAAAAGAGCATAAAAGGGAATCATTGAGTATTTTTGCATAAGTGTTGAATATATTTTTTTACTAATTATTGAATGTGAGATGTTTATAGTTTCAAGGTGTGTAATAGTGTGGATGAATTCAGAGGCTGTATTGGTACACAACTGAAAGAAGAGTGTACTGTGTAGGTTATTGAATGTTTTCAGTCGTATGTTTTTCCATTGTTGTTAGAACTGTCATTTTCTCTCTTCCTCTCTTAGAACTACTTGTTAGAGAAGTTTTGGTACAAGCATTTTAGAATGTTTACGTTAAACTAAATGGTATAGTTTTACATTAATTTACAATTATTCTCGAAATATTTACTGAGCACTTTATTTGAACTGGGTATTGCTTTAGTGCCTGGAGGTGCAGCATTGAATAAAAATATACGTTTGTTCTTATATAACTTAGGTCCTATAATTCCAAAGTTATACGTCATTTAACATACTTATTCAAATGCCACCAAATGGACCTTAGTTTCCTAGGCTGTACATCTTTACTAGCGAAGCAGACAGCCACATCTTTCTCCCGGGGGGCTGCTATTGGGTTCAAACTGCTGACCTTTCGATGAACAGCAAAGCACTTAGCCACTGTACTATGGGCTCCTCGCATATTTATTATGCCTCTGTTATCATTTGAGCACCTAAGTATTAAGGATAAAAGAGTGAATCAAATAGTTCATTTTCATAATGTGTTTGTGGAACGTTTATTTGGCAGACATTTGTTGATTGCCGTTCCTAAATCCATCTTAAAAATGCAAACAAAGAAAAAGGTTCTTATTTTCAGTTACTGGTATTTGTAATCTAACATTGAATAGTTTTGTAAACAATTTTCAAAAATCTTAGGTGATAACCATATGGAAGAATTCTAAATATTGAACTATTTCCTCCTAAATAAGGATCTGTTTTCCCATCTAGCTTTAGTGTCTGCAGAACTTTGTAATTTTAAATACAAGGAGCCTTCCAAAAGTTTATGAAAAAATTCCGTTTCTTTTTTTTTTTTTTTAATTTTAGGGTGAGGATTAGGGTTAGGGTTAGAGCTAAGTTTTGGTCTACAGTTAGGTTTAGGGTTAGAGTTAGGGTTAGGCTTAGGCCTAGGTTTAGAGTTAGTATTAGGCCTAGGTTTAGGGTTATGCTTAGGGTTAGGTTTAGGCCTAATGTTAGGGTTAGCCTTAGGGTTAGGGTTAGCTTTAGGGTTATGGTTATGGTTTGGCCTAGGGTAATGGTTATGGTTATGGTTATCAAATTCCGTTCTTTTCATTCATTTTTCCATGAGTTTTTGGAAGGCTCTCGTAGACATACACATAAAGTGGCGTAGAAAAACAGAGACAATAGCAAACTGGAAGTGGGTGAAAAAGGCTTCCAAAGGGAGTGGTACTTGAACCTACTCTTGAAAAGTGAGCAGAGCATTTCGTTGTTATGGGAGCAGGCAGATGCAGCCTTGTGCTATTTGAACTTGACCTAATGATAGCATAGCTTATAGGGGACTGGCAGGTAAGGAATACGATCAGGTTGTTAAAAATCACCTCCCCCAAGGGCCTTATTTTATCCATGACATGGAATCTCCTTGTTTTCAGATTGCAATGCCAAATAATGATGGGTCTTTGTGCTTCTGCTACTTGAAGTTTGTTGGCTTCTGCGATGTGTGATTATTTTTTCCATCCAATCGAGGGAATCTTCATTGTTTTTCATGTTCTTATTGCCTCTTATTCTCCTGAGGCTCATTCATTTTCTTTTGTTATGTTTTTGGGCCATGGAGGTGAAATTTCTTTGGGGATGGGCTTGTTTCTTTGGGGGGGGGGTGTGCGTTTGTCAGTTATAACCATACCAGGTATGTCATTCTGGTTTTTAATTTATTTCCTTTGCAACTAATCACATTGAGCCACTCCATGTGTTTATTGACCATTTATTTGTAGATCATTTTGGGGGAAAGAAATACTGTTTCTTTTTTTTTTTTTTTCCTATTGTGTGTATGTATCAGTTTATTTATTTTTTTCTTTTTTAACATTTTATTAGGGGCTCATACAACTGTTATCCCAATCCATACACACATCAATTGTGTAAAGCGCATTTGTA